TTTACCAATTAACACCGCAGTGTTCCCATGTAAACAGGAAACTTTTCTGCAAGCCAAACTAAATACACTGATAACTAACAATTTGTTCACCAATTTTGAGCAGTTATAAGAAAAGCCAGATCCTGAATGCCAATGTAGATGTAGATGCAGTTGCTCACAACTATTCAGGTATATTTTGTGAAAAAAAACAATTAAACACAAAAGCATTATTGGACAACTATATATGTTCATGTGAACAACCAGTTCTTCAAAATGATCAGGTTTTTTTTTTTTTTTTATTTTCAACCCCTGGAATATCCTAGGATAATGGTTCAGTTCATGACATGTACCTACCTGTGACTGGTTGTGAAGTATCTACCTGTGGCTGAACCAGAGGAGGAACTGTTACAATTGGAAGGGGCGTTATAATACTATCAGCAGCAGGTGCAATATCAGAGGTAGTTTCAGGTAATACTGGTGGTAAACTTGCATTGGTAGCATTCTCACTACTACAATCAGACTTCTTGTGAGTCATAAAGAGTTCTATGTCTGTGAATAGTAACTGACAGTTTCCACAAGTGAAAGTATCCATGACTCCAAATCTATAGAAAATGGATATAAAAAATGTATTATAATATAGTATGACATCTAAAATGTGTTCAAGAATCAAATCACATTCTAACCTTCTGGTAGTTGTTTTTGTGTGCGGACCTGTATCCCACACATCCATGGACTGATTGTGAATACCTTATCTTGTACATATGCACATGCATTGATTTTGTGATTTGATCATAGATGGCCAACTGTTGGCCATTTTGGTTAAAAAAAAATTGTTTCAAAATGTTAAAGTTGTACATGTTGGGTGTCTGGTGTATGACTTTTTGCCGTTCAATTCAAAACAGTTAGCTTGTAGCCATTTTGTTTCAAGGTTTTGCACATCTGAAGCCATTTTAAGACATTTTTTGCCAAAAGTTGGTTCAAGCAACTAAAACAATGACAGGTCATAATATTTGACATGCACATGTCAACGTTTTTTTTCTTTTTTAAATCGTTTATGACCAAACTGCAGTCTTTTTAACTGATAAAAATGTGGCCAAAACTCAATATCAGTGCTACAAACTCCATTCTGACATGCATTGATCAATTTCAAATTGGTATGTTGGTTGAAAATGCTGAATTATTGGTTTATGTTCTATAATATATATTATGATTCAATATGGCCGACTGATGGCCATTTGAGTCTTAGTTTTTCACCTCTGGAGTCATTTCTCAGATTTGCTTTGACCGATGTTGTTATTGGCTTTGACCTACGTGGTTCAAGTCTGTACAGTGACAGGTCATAATAGTTTACATGTGCATGTCAAGTTGTTGTTTTTTCAATTGGAAATGGCCAACACCAAGAAGTTGGTGTGTATGTAAATATCATCAGAGAAGAAAGTTCCTAATGCACCAATGAAGGGGGAAAGTTGTTTTCTTTTTTCTTTAATATCTTAATACACCATTAACTACTGCATTGACAGATGGGTCACTGAAGCATGACTGAACTTAAGGTGGAAGCCTGCTCATCATTTTTGAGAAAATTGGTCATAAATTGCATGACAATGTTCATTGGTTTATTATGTAAAATAATCATGAAGCTATTGTCCCATGGCACCATAAAATAGCATTCTATTGTGTGTTTATACAGTGATGTATTCTGAGAAACTTGTCATAATGTTTTTTAAAAAATCCCTATTTTTAGAACAATTCCATGAAGCGCAATGTTAAACAAAAATTACATTTTTCGCCACTTTTTGAAACCCAGATTTTTGAAAAAATTATCCCATCATTTACAATATATTATTTTTTCAGCCATGTCACCAGCCTACAATTTGAGATATGGCATAATATCTCTGCAATAGGAACCTATGGTAAAAGCATATAATATTCCCAAAATGGTCGCTATCAACTAAAATACAACCATGTTTTTTTCAAAAATTACCCTGGTGACCCCCAAGTCAATATTCTTATATTGCCCTGAAGTACAATTTAATAAAAAATGAATAAATTCTGGGTATTTGTAATCATGAGTAGGCTTCTACATGTACCTTAAAAAGGAAGTCTAGGCTGACAGCATGATACTGCCATAAGAAAGACCTCCACAAATGCTGGGCAATGCATTTTACAGTTTTCTTTTCATTCTATATATATTCAACTTTTTAATTATTATGCGTTCTCCACTATTTTGATTTTTTTTTTGATCTTTAGTAAAACATTTACTCCTCAGGTGCATTTGCTCATTGCCAGTTACATAAACCCTTCATGAACTGACACAAGTTTTGCTGTCCTATAGTTTTACCTCAACATACCATATGTTTTTATTATATATTTATTTATTTATAGTTGCAACCTTTTAAACTTTTAAATAACAAAAGTACATGACATGTACAAGAAAAAAATCAATAAGAAGAAGCAAAACACATGTCTGAAGCCATGAGTAATTAAACACTGCAAGGTAAAAATTACACATATTGCTTTCTAATTCTACTGTATCAGTGATGAATTGTTTAAAAATGTTATTTATTCTCTACACAATTCAACATTGCAACCCTGACTACCGGTATTGTTCCTCAGATGAAATTATAGTACAAATTTAATTTAAACCATGGATTGCAGCAAAGAATCATGGGACACTATTGTTTATGTTGTTTACAAACTTAATCTTATCTTTTGTTATCCATTGTAATTTTAATCCAGAAAGTAAATTTGTTGTGAGATTAGGCTTAACTGGTGTAATTTCTTTGGTGATTGGAAGGTACTGAAACTTGTATCTGTGACTAGAATGCCATTAGAAAAACGCATTGGATTGTGGGAAAATCAATGTTTATCAACACACATGCACAGTGCAACAACCACCGCTTTATTACTGTACTACTCAGCCAAAAAAAAAAAATCAACATCTTCCACAATGTTATCTTTTTAATCACAAATTTGTCTAGCTTTGTGATATTTTTTGCTAAATGAATTTGTTGTAATTTTGTTTTTTCATTGTGTGAAATATTTTTTTCCTAGGATTTAGGCATGTAGAACTATTTTTGTTATTACTGGTCACTGCGGGGAATTTTCCAAAATGTTTTCCTATGCAATTTTTTTTTCTAACGTTAGTGTTATAAACAATAGAATAACGTCTCACCCGGGCCATGGCGGGGGACATGCGAGCGAGCGCCTGTGATGATTCTCAGACTACCGATAGATTTAAAATATTAATGCAAACATTAGGCACTAAAAAGGAAACCCTAAAAAGTACAGTTGCATACACATTTAACATATGAGCATGGCACACATCAGACGTCCCGTGTGAAATATCATACGATTGATTGGCACACACGCTAAAGCCTTGTTTCGAGTGGGCGAACTGCCAGTGCGCAATGGAAACAAATTATCCGACGTCAAGCGACACGGGTTCATCCAAGGAAAAAATCATGGCCTTTCTGAACGAATCTGGCAATGACCTGCACTTTGCATCAATGGGGCTACATTGTGTGTTCCCATTTCTGGTCAATATTATTGTACTGCTGTTTCTTATTAAAGAAATAGAAAGAACACACGGGAAAATCTATATATATAAACATATGAAACACATGTACAAAACGTGACTTTTCGAATATGGGTGTGAAATTTATAAAAATACATTTCAAACATTTGCCCGCCATTTTCGAGCAGCTCATTCAACTCATTAACGGGTTCCAACACTAGAATTTCCGCCACTTTGTCTCATAGTTTGAGTATAATGAATTATACTATTAGTTCCATTGTAAATATACTCACCTTCTGTCAATATTTCTAGTTATTTATCGCTTCTACGCGGGGAAATTTATCGCTTAAAATTCAACGTCGGGAAGTCTTCAAATTCCGCAATATGGCGACGCCATTGATCTCGTGCTTTACCACATATCTCGCGCGAATACAAGTTGATGACCTCTCACCCCGTTGTGTCGTCACCGGAAGCGTTGTCCCAGCACAATTCCGCTCCGCCGCCTCTTTACAACAGTGTTTATACGCGGAACTTGATATTGCTTTTTACAATTTGGGTTGCCTTTGAATTTTAGTGAAACATTATTTATAGAGTGAAATATTATTGTCATACATAATCCAATCTTTGAAACAACAGAAACTAACACATAATAACGATAATCAAATTTGAGTTTGAAGTTCGAAAGTAGTTGCGTTATTTGCGGTTTCAACTAGTTCGAAAATAGAACGTCCTTGAGCGCAATAAAATCACGCGTAGAGAACTCCATCCGAACCAGACTCCAGTAGCGTAAACTTATTGCAATTTGGGCCCAGTTTGTTCTTACAAGTTTTCTAAGTTTCATCTATCATTATTTAGTAAACAGGTCTCTGAAACGATTTAATATATCCGAAAATATGTGGCAATCGACGATTGACTTCGAAACGTTCGAAATTTCGAACAAACTCCCGGCACACCTTGCGCGATATGCGTCAGATCGGTGTAGAAGACGCCGAACTGCAGCGTCAATGCCTCTCACCCCATTCTCATTCCCAGAGTTCTTTGCGGTAAATCACAGAAATAGAACTTTGCGTGGGAGATTGCCCCGGAGATTGCATTGCAGGGGCAATCTCCCAGGCATTCTATTTTATTCGGTGATCTAACCGCAAGGAGCTCTGGGAAGGAGAATGCTATCACCTTGCGTGGAAGATTCCCTTGTCCATAAGCAAGTCACAGCTTTGACCGTGATAATATAATTATAAAACTAAACCACAATCATGACTTCAGAAGAAGCCAAACCGTTTGTTCTTGCTTCGTCGCCAGGTCCACCTCGAGGATTAGTTCCTGAACACGTTCATATGCTTGAAGAACTTTTCACGGTCGTGTGGTGGGATGATTTTGAAGCTAATCGTGATAAATTTTCCAATAAAATACAAGGTATTTTTTCTCAGTGTGGGAAACCCGCAGTTACGGAAGATCTTGTCGCGGCTTTACCGAATTTGAAAGTGGTATCAAACTTTGGCGTTGGTGT